GAATCTTTCCCAATAGTTTTACATTTTTTCAATAAAATAATCTCTTGTATCAATATTAAGTAAAGATATCAGGATTCCAGGAAGAAGTTTCTTTTCGAAATATTTAATCTCTAGCTTTCGGGCACACGAAGGGCCTTCTACAGTAGAGAAAACACGATACAATCTTCTGTTGAAGGACGTTAGAGATTAAATATTTTGAAAAAGAAACTTCTTCCTGGAATCCTGATATGTTTACTTAAGTTTGTATCTTTCATATTTTTCTATAGATATAACCCAGGGAGCGCAGAACGCCAACTACCCGGACTGTCCTGCGGTTTAGGAGTCTTGCCTTGTTTGTCTTAGTGAACTATAGTTCACCAAGTGTTTCCAAGCAGGTTTGTTTCTCGGTAGGTTCAACCGAGCAGTCCACAGCTAGCCGTCTAAAATGTAAACTTACTAGAGTAGTTCTATAGATATAACCCAGGGAGCTCAGAGCACCAACTATCCGGGGAGTATGGACTAGTGCTAAACACTTTTAATAACGTCCTGATTGCTGAGTCGAACCAGTTGATAAGGAATTTTGAGGTCGAGTGTGAACTTACTAGTTATTTACATACAGTAAAAGGCAAGATGTATGTGTTATGTATTTGTGCTTATACATTTCATTAGTGTCAACAGTATTCATTAACTCATAGTTCTACATTTCGGAGTTTCGTGTTTTAAATGAAATGTTTCTCACTGAATGGTTCTCACCTTGGGTGGTATTTTGTGTCTTTATATATAAGGAATAGAAAAATGAAGCACGAATGCTTCTTTTATATCCAAATCAAACTAACTTCTCTATTGTTACTTTACTGCATGGAAAATATTGATAGGGCTTGGTTCATCAGTGGAGAACCCTCCCAGCGGTTTCGAAATATTTAATACACTAGACCACTTTTAAAGCTCTGCTTACACACTCATGGACAAAAATTAAGGAAATGGAAAGTCTTTGATGTCGCCGGTCGTCTCCTCGTATGTCTTCAATAAAGGTCACTGTAATATCTTTCAGAGTTATTGTCTGAATTCCCCCGATATATACATGCTAAAAGGTACAACTTCCTTAAGTTTTGTCCATGAGTGTTTATATATATATAAGTTTGTCTTTAGTTCATATCGAGAGATGAATTCGTACATTTATTGATGGTAGTAATCCAGTTGATTCTTGGTCTTCTCGTTGTTCCTTAAGTCACCAAGACCTGGTAAGAATTATTATTCCTGATCACGCCGTATCCATCGTATTTCCTTGTACTTCCTCGGCGTGGAACTGAGGAGTGTTCAAGAAGACCTTGTCTGGAGGAGAACTCTCTCAAGGTGGGGAAACCTTCCTTGCTAAAGAAATTTGTACATATATAACTGTATATAGAAAACGACATTTTGAAAATTACCCTGCATGAGTTTCTTTTCAACTAAAAATCAAAATTCATTTTAAGGAGAAATAACGATTATTTCTAACCTTAGGGATGAGGTATGAAAGGATGAATTGTGAAGAGTAGTGATGAACGGAAAAATAAAAGCGGGATAATTTTCAAATGTCGTTTTACAATCACAAGCCACATTATATTGTATTGTATAACTGTATATATATTTCCCTACATTTTATCTACCCTTTATTTACCCCTTTATTATATATTATTCTTTATTGGATCATAATCTTATTTTCTGTAAAAATTGATTAAAATAATCAATAATAATTGATAAATTGCCCACAAATTGTTCTCCCATCGTATTTCCATTCTCTTCCAAATGTCACCACTCCATTCCAAATCAATCTTCACCAGACATTTCTTTAACTCTTAACTTAATTTTCAGCAGCTTTCTTTCCTTTATAAGCAGCCTCCTTCTCTCTCCCTATTGCAATTATTTCCATTTGAAGTTCAATCAAGGGATATTTAAAATAGCAAGTTCCTCCTTGCCTCATCAATGGCTTTGTAATGAGGCGCTTTTGTACCCGCCGTTTTTTTCACCCCGCGATTCACAATTCCTACATACCATTGTCACCTTAGTACACAGAGAAAAATTTGCATAGGACTGTCAGGGTATATGGAAATAAGTTTAGCAGTTGAAAAAAATATTTGAAAAAAGAGGTAGGTGACGTTGCTACCGTTGTTTAATAAATGAATAACAGTAGCTTTCGGATAAGCACCTTCTGCAGCTCAAAAGTTTCAGTTTTTTTTTTTTTTGCTGAAGAAGGAGCTTTTCTTGAAAGCTACTCCGTAATTTATTTTTCAATTAAAAAAAAAGAAAAAAAGTTTCAGCGACGCCTATTTGTTCTTGTAATTGTCAAAGCCCCCAAATATCCTGGTTATAGAAATCGCTTTATTAAACTTTCTTCCAGAATGTCATTTCCAGACGTCAGAAATGGGCGTCAAAGGAGAACAGAGAACTTTAAGGGTAAAACGGCCGGTAACGGGAATATTAAAAGAAATAAGAGAAATTTATTGAATTTTAATATAATTGAAAGATAGATGTAAATTTGTGGTCAACACTTATTCATCTGGTATCCATCTGTATTCACCCTGAATTTCTTCAAGTTGTGTGTTCGCTATATAAGCCTAACCATTCCAATACAATTGTTTGAGAAAGTGAAAGTTGTATAAGCTTATGATTTTACTTTGTTTTAAAAATGAAGCGATGTTGGTTCCATATGTTTGAATTGAATATTACACCTTAGTTCTATATATATTTTATTGATTAAAAAGGAACACAACGAAACAAAAAAGAAACTACAATTACAAAATGATTTGATAACTAATAAAAAAAAACATATTAGTAAATTAAATTTAATTGCCATCTATCGTTAAAATTTTACACATATAAATTTACTGGCAATGCGCTTCTTTTAAATATCATCAAATATTATCTCTACAGACCTTACTGCAATGAGATTAATTTGGCGAAACCACTGAGAGGGTTCACTACTGATGAACCAAGCCCTCTCATTCAATAACTCATATCATTGCAGCAAGGTCTGTAGAGATAATATTTGTTGATATTTAAAAGAAGCGCATTGCTAGTAAATTTATATGTGTAAAATTAAAAAAATAATAATAATAATTTTTAAAAAGCTGATGATGATAAAAATAAAATTGAAAATGTCTGTCAGAAAAATGCTTCTATGAATTAAAAAAATGAATAATTACAAAATTAACATATAAACTTCAAACAACAATATTAGGGCGGTGTGAAATATTAAACTGGCGAAACCGATGGGAGGTTTTGATACTGATGAGCCAAGCCCTCCCAGTACTTTTTTCGTAGCAATACTACTTTGGAATATTGTTTTAAAATAAGAAGTTATTATATTTCTCCATTTTTATTGCATTATTTTATATTAATTTTATGATTCTTTGATGTATCTCGTACGAATACCACCAAATTGCTGAAAAGGAGGCGCTAATAAATCTTTGCCGTAGCTCGTGCTGCCATCTATCGAGGGTTTTTGAAACTATTTTAAAATATTCGCTGTTTTTAAAATTATTAGAATTAAGTGTATTAATATCAATATATCTTTATATTGTAATAGTTATTTTTAAGATGTTATTAAAATGTTAAATATATATATAGATTTAAATCATTTTACGTATTTATATCTCTGCATTTAATTTAATTTTCATCACAATATTTTTCTAAATACCTATTTCTATTTATTAAATGAGGAATGTTATTTGTATGTTTTACGAATTACACTTGCTATCCCCTGAAATCAATTCTTTTTTGTCGGGAATTTCTCCTCAATTGACAAAGTGGGTAACTTGGAAAATTGAAGTATGTTGGGTCGTTTGTATTTTGGAATTGTTGTCCTTGTGATGTTTTTGTTGTTGTTGTTATTGTATATTATTATCCCTAGTACACATGGTACAAGCCATCATAATCATGGTGGGTAGCAGTTGGCAACTGCTTCTACTGTAAGTTCATCGCATGTCAACAAATGAAGAAAGCAATTCAACTTTTACACTTACTAATGTTTCACAGCCCCGTTTAGTTACTTGCATTTACCGGTGGGTTTAGACTTTTGCAAGAATCGGGGGCCATTGGAGCAAGCCCTTGTGATGTTAAATCAAATAAAATACACTCACATGGACAAAACTTGAGGAAGTGGAATATCTTTGATATCACCGATCGTCTGTTTTTTTTTGTTTTTTCAATGGAGAGAGAGACAATTTTGTTCACACTTGGTTATCTCATTGTATCTTGAATTAAGTTCAATGTGTATCAAATATCTCCCAGAGTTATTGTCTGAATCCCGATATATATTCTAAGAGGTACAATTTCCTCTAGTTTTGTCTAGAAGTTTAGAATTAAACGTGAAAAAGTTTACGCACACTTAAAAATAAAATGTATTATTGAAATCAAAAGCTATTTCTAAAAACGGTTAAACCCCATATTAGGCCACACAAATTGATACGGAAATCAAAGGAAACATAACCAACGATACTTTTTTTTCTTAATCACACAAATTGGGATAAATTCGCCACAACACCAACTTTTGTCAAATTCGGACAAACAACCAACAAGAATGTTTTGAGCTATGGCTCTCATTGGTACAGTGACGGTTTCGATTTCTTCCTCCTCTTCATAAAACAATTTTATTGTTTGAAATATTAAGAAAAAGACATCTCCTTATCGTGCAACTGAAAGTTGCTGATGGTTTGCGCTATCTTTCAGAATAGATATCAACTATTCTGTAGATTTTAAATTATTCCAGAATTGGCCACAAGTACCCATTCTTGATTAATTAAGAAAAGCTAACCACGTATGCGTTGATATTTATTCCGAAAGATGGCACCAGCCATCAGCAACTTTCAATTGCACGATAAGGAAATACCTTTTTCTTAATTTATTCACCTTATCCCAGTAAAAATTCGCATTTTAACTATTTTTTCACAATGTTTGAAATATGGTATAGAATAGAATCTCATATTCAGTAGTTCCTTTTTGGTGTTCAGGACATCTCTTGGAGGGCTTATGACCAGAAAGAGTCCCCACGCCGGGAATGGAACCCGTGCCTCCTGGGTACTAGCCAGGTATCCTAGCTACTAGACCATGCTACGGAGTCTTGATGTCCTACACGGGAAGTGGTGAAATGGGCCGGATCCGAAGAAACTGGTTAAAATGGTAAGACTGATCTTAAATCAGAATACATTGTAGTTCTAATAGAGGAATGTGTTATTGTGTTAAAGTCACTTTTAACGTTTAAAATGCGTCATAGTAATATATCTTCTTGATTTTCTCTGCACCAATCACATGTATTCCTTCAATACTATCTCAAAACACAAACCTTTGGAAAATTCAGACAAAAATCCAACAACCTGTTTACCATAGTCTCATTACAGGGGCGGCTACGGTTTTGTAAAATCTCCTAAGTGATCAGCGCTAAAACACCGTTTTGACAGCTTCAATCTATTTCCTAATGTCTCCCATAGAATGCCAAGAATTAAGAACTTTCATTTTTGAGTAACTTATGGATTTACCGTGGTTGTCTCCTTTACCACGGTAAATCGGGGGTATAGAAGGTGTATGTTGTATCTACTATCATATATTATCATATCTTAATGTCTATATGTTTTTACTCACGCCTTAATTAGATGCCCAAAGTCACGTGACGTTAATTAGCCATTCAGCCTTAAATTCATTAGCCAATCAGCGCGCAATGTTTCTTTAGCTCAGAAGTGACATTGGACAACGAAATTATATATCAAATTTAGGATTTTGGGTTTGATTCTAAGAAGTTTTCTCTCTCTTTTTTTTTTTAGATAAACTATTTAAAAAATGATATATTCTTGTCATTCTATTTGTAAATTCTCTGATAAATTTAATTTAGAGTTGTTTGTATCTATGATTTACTAGTTCTTTTTTAATCTATATATATAAAATTGAATGTCTGTCTGTCTGTCTGTTTGTCTGTACTCTATAGATTCAAAAACCATACATCCAATCGCCGTGAAATTTTGGGATATTATTAGGTATATCACCGGGAAGGTTTTTGAAAAATAATTTCATGAATATCTTGAATATCCTTAGAGTTATTTGCAGATTTGTAGATTTAACTCGCAAGCAGCGCCCCCATTGTGACGATGATAACAAGTTTTCTTATCACTAAGTTTGTTATCTTAAATATTATTTATCAAAAGTAAGATTATCTCAGGATGACACAGCAATGTGACACGGGAAAAAAATGTTCACTAGATAAAACTATGATTTTCTAATGTAGAAAATTAGGAAAGACAAACTTTAGTATGCTCCAGGAATCCGGGTTACCTAAATAAATAATATAAATAGGAAAGACAAAATTCAGGATGACACGGCACACAGGGACCGGGAAAAAAAATGTTCACTTTATCGAGAGATTCAAATTTACGAGTTTCAAATTATCAAAATATATCTTTTTTTTTTTTAATAAGTTTTTAGAGAATTATTTCAACAAATGTTCGCTAGACAAACCTTTACTCGGGTAAAACCTCGGGCGAAGCCGGGTACGTCCGCTAGTTCTTTATAAATAAAGTTGATTCCTTTTTTTCGCAATATAAGTTCATTATATTATTTATATTTTATTTATTAATTATTATAAATATATATAAAATAAGCTCTTATTGCGAAAGAATTTAACATTTAATTATAATTATTATTAAAATTTCTTGATTTTTGTAGGTCGTTGTATATCATAGGGACCTCTGTGATTTCTTTAATCATTAATGGTCAATTTGGTTTTTGAAAAGTGGCAAATTAACGCCATCTATAGTGTAGTACTAATAATGAGTATACCTTTATACTTAACATACACTCATGGACAAAACTTAAGGAAGTTGCACCGTTTAGCATGTATATCGGGACAATAACTCGACAATAACGGTGGACGTCCCTCTGGCTGCGTCTTGATCTTTGTTCCAGAGCTTCCACTTCATAATTCACTTCTGACACCTTCCTCGGTATCTTATACGGGGGCCGAAGTATTTCTTGAGTAATTTCTCGGACAAAAATTCTGTCTTTCGAACAGGGATAAACACCCAGACAAGGTCCACGGTACTCAATAACATATTTTTGATACACAGTGACTTTTATTGAAGACACACAAGATAACCAAATGTGAAAAAAAAAAAACCTCTGTCTCCTTCAAAAAAAAGGCGACCGCCGATATCAAATACTTTTCATTTTCTTAAGTTTTGTCCAAGAGTGTATATAACTTTTCCTGGTGACTTGTAGCGGCCTGATATAAGAGTTTGATTTTGGTATATATCAATTCTTTTATAGGTTATAATAAGTCTCGAAATGGTCCGCAGTCGTATGGGCGACTGTAAGCTAATGGCCAGTCTTTGATTGAGCCAAATTTCTATTCTGTAAGCTAATGTCCAAGTTTCACCATAGTCCGACGTGTACCTCCCTTTAGGCAAATCTTTGTTTAGCTAGCGATTTAAAACGTCGATTAACTGAATATAAAAAGAAAGGTTTTCTCCCATTAAGGCGCCAGGTTTCCATTAAATATGGAGGAATAATGAGACGCCAAGTGAACAATGCTATCACTGGTTGGTCCTCCGGTCATCAATCCTAAACTTTATCACAGATTGGAGGGGAGAAATTTAGGCCTAAATGAAATATTAGCTCAATTCTATATCGCCTTTTCTACCTGATTTTATATAGGGGTAATTTATTTATTTTTTTCACCTACTGACGACAAATGAATAGGGATTGTGGCGAGAGGTTTTAAATCTAGATTTATATAAAGATGTTGTCTGAAAAGTGAATATTACTAAGAAGAATATGATCGGGTAATCCCATTAATTCAATATATCTTTGTACAATAGGATTTTAAAAAAGGATATTCTCTATGAATGATAAAGTAGATGAAACTAACGATTTGTCCCTCACAAAGAAATCCGCTCCATAGCAGCGGGATAGACCTTCTGGATTCCCTCTGTCGCTTCTCTATTTATATACTACGTTTGAAAGTATAAATCATGGAATATAGTTGCACTGTGGTAACCTGAATTTATTGTGTATTTGTATATTGATTGGCTATTTCTTATCTACATCTTGTATTCTTATAAATTTACCGATATCTTTTTTTTTTTTCGATCTGATATGCAATTTTTTTTTTCTTTTCATTTCTTTCTTCTTTCATCTTTTCAAACGATTCATTGGATGGCAAAGATCACGGTGGGTATTCTGTGTGTGTACTGTAAATTTAAAACGTTGTAGAAACGGTCCTAACGACTTGTGAACTAGGTGAAGTCACAGTCTCTGCTTCCTTGGATACAAAAAGAAATCCATTTCTAACAATTTCCATCGAATTCTACCACCGCCTCGATGCCACGCAACCTTAGCAGAAAATTCAAGTTGTAAACTCATTAACATTTTTTCAATAATTTTTTTGTCCTGATGTTTCGACAACCCACTGTTGCCCCTATCAAAGTGGGAAAGCTTCTTAACGAATATTGTCTTGAAAAAGGAACAATAAAATTTAGGTAAAGTTTCCTTTAATTTTGTTTTTTTGCAAGCTTTCGAGCAAATATTCTGCTCCTCAACATGCAAATACTTTTGTGTACAATATAAATATGATCTTAATACAGAAATAATTGAAAAATGTGTTATTGGCATGTGCTCTTGTGGGCGTGCATCAGACTGTTTACAGCTAAAATAATAGATATTATAATGGATGAACTATATTGTAGCGTAGAAATCAAGTCTTGGATTATCTGGGGAAGCAAAAGAATTTATTGATGACGTCAGTACGACAATTATCAACCAAACTATCTACAGCTAGAGAATATCGAGCAAGCAAGCTAGGTAACTAAATGATGATTTTACAAATATAAAATAGAAATATAATTCATAATTTAATTTAATTATTATATCGTCACAATTTATACACAACAATTATTAATTCATAGATATTTTGTCAGGGATATTGCCATTTTGGGTTGGGAGGTCTATTTTTCTATTAATGCTTTTTATTTTTGATAATACCAGTGCTTCCAGGAATTGATATCGTGTACATAGTAGTATTTGCTTGTTGAAGAACAGAAAATTTACTCGATAGCTTGAAAAAACCAAAATTAAAAGAAACTCCTGAATTTTATTGTTCCTTTTTCAGATAACTTATAGGTAACTATTGCTCACGTAGAATATTGTCTTCGATAATCCCTTTAATCAATATTAAGATAAGAACAGTAAGCCTCCAGGGAAAAGTTTCTGTAAAATCTTTGTTTACGTAATATGATTAGCAAACGTATTATAAGATTTATTTATTGGGGTATTAGATAATTTATTTACTTACAGGATTGTTGTTAGTATTAGATAGCGTTAGTTCTTTTATTTACATTCTATATCGAACTTAACTGTGTTGCTGAGTACGATATTAACTATATTACAGTTTCTTTTTAAAATATTTTTACTTACTTACCCGAAAGTTTGAGAGATTTTTAAATAAAAAAATATTTTAAAAAGGATCTTTTCCCTAGAGGCTTAATGTTCTTATTTTAATAAGAATATTGTCTTGTTTCAATTTTTTTTTTAAAGCGACAGTGGGCGTTTATTGTTGAAACATTGATTTTTTTTTTTTTTTGTTATTGAGTGTAATTTAGATATTCTCTCTTTTGCGAGAGAATGTTCTCAAAAAACTACACATTTATTCTGATAAATGTTGTTTTTTATATAATAAACTATTGATATATTCCTACCTCCATTATATAGATATATGATGGTCATACGGCGGTATCAACTTCATTTACAGACAAATCAGACCTCTTTTATTTGATATTCTTGGGACAAAATAGTTAAACTTGCTAAAGATTTCTTTATATAGGGTTCTCTTCGCTAAACACTTTGTAGATCTGTATTCTGTTGAATCAAATAGTGCTAAATATAATCGCTCTTTCACAGAGATGTGCATCCAATAGATAGCACTTTTATTTTATGAAGATTTATCAAAATTGAAATTGATAAAGTTAATATATTTAGAGTCAACTATTTGTGAAATGCATATATTCAAATTTGCATATATGTTACCAAAAATTCTAGCATATTTGCATAAGTGTGCGAGGGAGGCCGTATTTGCATA